CCATGCCTTACGCCGCCCTTGGTCATAGAAATGATGTAATTTGAATATAAATTATTTATAAATACGTATGTCAAGTTATATTTTTATTACTACGTAAAATATATTTAAGAGTTTACGACCACTGTGCTGGGTGAGACGTTGTTGAAACAAAAAAAGTTATGCATTCCATCACGTACATAAACAGTGTCGTAATTCGCCAAGTGCAAATCAGCAAATTCGTAAAATTTTTGTTTATTTCGAACAACCGGATAATCGAAAATCCGGATAATGGAGGTTCTACTGTACTTTTAAATAACTATAAAATATTTTAATCACATAAAGAACTTAAACTTTAAACTTAGGACCAAAACTTTTATAAATTATAAATATTTTTCCTTTGTTTAAGACCAGTATTAATGATTTTTGAAAGTTTAAGTTAAAGTTTACATAATCAAGTTATAAAAATCGTTTAGATTATTAGTTACAAATATTTATGTAATGATTTTTAAAGCTCTCATTTCTATAATTTATTTTTAAATACTGGCTAGAATTCTTCTGTTTAATTTTTTGTGTAGTATGAACAACTATCTAATCAGAATTTTTAAAAAATATATTATTATTAGTATTTTGATTTTTAAACCAGATTCATGTAGTTAATGAGAAAAGACCATATGCTATGTGGAATGATGCTTCTCAGCCAGTAGAAGGAAGTGTTGGATTGAAATCTGCTATCATTGCTGGGAAGAGGGCTCTCAACACATTACATAAAGAATTGGGAGCTTGTGGTTTTTCTCAAGTAAATCATTAACTGTTCTTAAATAGTTTGGCTATTTGGTCTTTTTTAAAATAATAATAATAATAATAATTTTAATTCTTTAGGTTTATGTAGATCAAGTTGATGAAAATATAGTTTCTGTAACTCGCCATTGCCCAGCAACTCATCAGTCTGTAATATTGATTGCAAGAACATCTTTTAGTCAGCCACATAATCCAAAAGAAACAGGCTATATTCCTCCTTTATGTGTTCCTGGTAAATGTGCACTTTAAAATATTTACTACTATTGAAATATTTGTAGTTATAAAATTACAAGAAAATATCATCATATTTTTTAGGTGTTGTAGAAGAAATAATCTTTGAAGCACGATTAATAGAGAAATCAAATAAACGACAATTTGAACAAGATCCAAAATTTATAAATGGTTTAGTAGACTATCAGCTTGATATTAGAGAACATATCCAGCTTTATGAAAGTGAAATGGTTGAATTAAGTGACAGTGGAGAAAAAATGGTCAAGGAAGTTGATTTTACTAGTTTTCCTCCAGGATCTGTTGTTGCTTTCAGGTATAAAATATATTTTATAATTATATAATACATAGAATATATTTATTGTTAAATAAAATTTTATATAATCTACTTCTATAAGCCCTTGCTAGTTAAATACTTAATTTTAGTGTAGAAGCAAAACACTTTTTAGCACTTTTTAAAACATGTCTTAACATTTGAATATTACATTAAAAAAAAATTTATACAAAGTGTATAATAAAAAAATGAGTTATATGAATTCTTGTCATAGACTAAATTTTAAAATTTTGCTTAGATTGCATTTTGATAGTGGGGTTGATTTTTATCATTTACAATAATTGAATCATTAAATGAATTATCTCTCAAAAATTGATTACTGATTTACTATTTACATATTCCATTGATGAATCTGGGAATATTAATATTAATTATGTACTGAAAGGAAAATTATTTACCCCATCAACCAGCGGGGAGGTCAGAGGTCTCCCGGTTTGCGTCACTAGTCAGGATGACAAGTCAGGCGAGTGAAGGGAGAGAATTTTGGGGTCAACGATAAGGTGAAGGGCGTGATCGAGTAAAGGAGTCTACCATTTATAACAAATATAACAACAATTTATTAAAATAAGCGAATTAGACAAAAGACTACACAAATTGCGTTTCTAAACCGCCTAATATGCTAGAGAGGGAGAGTTTACACACTTTTTCATGCCTCTTTGTAGAGTTCCTAGACGATTAAGTCAATGTAGGCACATAAATGTCTAAGGAAAGGTGGTTTTAATCCAACTGAGGCACAAAATATATGTTCATGACTTTGATGATTTGATATCGACACTCGTAGATCGGAATTCGGCGGGTTCGGAGAATCAGCGTGATGTCGTCGGTCTGGCGTTCGTTAAGAGACTCCCCCAAGAGGGGGTAAGAACTGTCTTTTATAGCTTTTTGTGGGGAATTTACACCACGTGATCGGATGTTCATGAGATAAAGGTTATAGGTACTTACCCAGGGACTTAAAACAAGTGACGAAAGTTGGATGTTAACTATAAACTTTTCTGCAAGATGAGCTGCAAGTTCTGCAGAGAACAGTAGATGTTGATAGTTATGACAGGAAGGTTTACACATTCCTGGCTAAGATCGTTTTTTTTCTAATTCGTTACATAAACGAAAGTAAATTGATTAACATTTTTGTTAATAAAAGAGTGTGATTTTCGTTACACAAATTCTGGATCTCACACATCCAAAGACTTGTATAGAAAAGGAGAAACAGTATAAATTCTATTGTTGGAATAAGTAGTAATAAAACCATACATTTTCATGGTTGCAGTTAAATAAAATAAACATTTTTATAGTTAAAATTGTATTATACATATTAAAATCCATGTAATCCAAAGTGTATCATATGTATACTATTTTTAACAGAATTAAAATTTTAGATTCAAATTAATTTTTTATTTAAATTATTAAAACTTGTTTAATCTTCTTTTGATTTTTAGAGTATCTTTAAATGCAGTGGCTCGAGCAGCTATATTGAAAATAAGAACATCAGTTGCACAATTTGGATACCGGATGAGGTCATACAGTGGTACTCATATTAGACCTCAAGGAGATGATTTTGAATCTGTAGTATCCAGATTATCTCTAGCTGATTTAAATAGAGTATTATTTAGATGTGATCCTGAAGAAAGAGATGATGGGAAAGGTGGAGGAACATACCATATTCCTAATTATGGGAATCTTATTTACTGCGGTTTGCAAGGTTTGTATATAAACTAAACATGTATTAATCTATATATATTTTTTTATTGTAAGAATTAACTAACTATAAATAAGTGTTAATTGTTTAAAAATGCTGAAAATTTAATTTATTCCAATTAATAATAAAATATTTATATCCTTTTGTACTTGCTAAGATATATGTAAAGAATATATTTTTGAAGAAATTTAGAAGAAATTCAAACATATATTTTTACTCCTCCTTTCCTTTTGTCCCAGTTTGTCCATGTTTCTGTAACCCTCTCTCTTCTTCAGACATTCAGCAAAACTCAGTATTTTAAAATTAACAGTATTAAAATTATTGAGAAATTACTTTAATTTTTTATCATATGAATAGAAATGTAAATGGTTAATTACTAGTATTTTAATTTTTTGATTTAAAGTTCAACAAACATCTTACATTTTAAATAATAATAATTTAGGTATTATGAGTGAATTATCTACTATACATCTTCATAATGATCTTGGACATCCTTTCTGTGATAACTTAAGACAAGGTGATTGGTTACCATCTTATGTGGCTAATCGATTAATGCAACATCCTTCAACAAAAGAAGTAATGGAAATTTTTACATATTTTTTTTCAAGAAATCAATTATTATATACTAATGTGTATAATGTTGTTTTCAGCTCGGAAAGTGGTTTGAAAAAGTGTTTCATTTTCTTAGTCAAATACCACGTTATTTAATTCCATCATACTTTGATACAATAGTAACTGGAGCATATAATGTCCTTCTTTCTGTCATCTGGAGAAATATGTCTGAGTATGTTAATTTAAATGTTCAATTCTTAGATTTTACAGTAGAATAAAATTACATTTATTAAAAATACACATACTTACTCTTAATTAAATCTTTACAGATTTATAGCTGAAGGATCAACTTTTGTAAAAGCTTTAGCATTAGCTTCAGTAATTTTGGGAGGTTGTGTTAAAAGTTCACCTTTACCCCAATTATCTCCTTCTCTCTCACCACCACAACCACCATCAACTGTTGATGAAGAGACTGGGCTCAAACAACAAAGTTGTGTTACGCTTGCTGCAGGTATCTATATATTAAACTAGTAGCTGGGACACTCCCTAGTGGGCGTTCTTTACAAATTTCCATGAGGCACGGTTCCTTTGACTTTTTTGATCCTATTAATATGCTCTACAGCTCCGTTAAAGTGCCAATGGTAAGATTTACCCTCCAAATGAAGGGGTGGCAATCCCCCCCAAACCGTAGCACCCTTGTGCGAACAATAAAGTCAAATGAACCACACCCCTATGCAAGACCCTTCGTGAGATATAAGCCCCTGAAAATTTGCCTACATCATTCCCAGTCATGTGACACCGTGATCAAAAGGGAGCCTACCACACGAAAAAAAAATTAGCGTACACTCGAGGGGTCACAGACCCGCTCATTCACAGGGTAAGTTGTGGCAAACAGGTGGTCATGTGACTCGTAGAATAATTTTTGGAGGGCTATATCTCGGGAAGGGTCGTGCATAGGGGTATGGTTCATTAGACATTTATTGTTCGCACAGAGAGGAGTCACCACCCCTTCATTTGGAGGGTAAATCTTACCATCCCAATCGTGCCATACGGATCTATATTTCTACCTATTAAACATTCTATAAATACTTTAAAATAGTTTAATTTGTTTATTTACCTTCGCTTGTAAACCTCGATTTTAAGTGTATCTGCCATTTTTTCAACAAATTTCCCGAGTCATTGCATGACGTTCACTGAGTAAGGGGTTGTTGTAAACATGCAGCGCAAGGTTAATCAAGGCATATAATAATTATTTATACCATTCTGTGGTATAAATAATAAATTCATATCAATAATAAATTTCTATTACAAATAAAAATAATTTGTTAATTTAAAATCTTTGCTAGGGCACCTCTAGTGCCTGTTTTTGGCATACCATTACGTGGACAGATGCCCGTTCAATGGATTATATATATATAGATGNCCTTGGTAAGGATTATATATATATATATATATATATATATTATAATTAAAAAAAGTAAGACTTTTTAAGATTTTGATTGTTAAACAGAAATACAGAAAATGAAGAAGAAAGAATAAAAATTTGTGCTGATGAATTCAGAAAAGCATTAGAAGAGTTAAATAATGAAAAGAGACATCTAATACAAATTCATCTATCATCTGGTGTTGAGAATGTTTTGTCAGGTGTGAGATATCAAAGGCTTGATCCAAATGGTCCAAAATTGACAAAAGTTACTAAAGCTAATCCTTTAGTTCCAAAGTAAGTATATTTATATTAGAAAATTTTATTTTAATTTAAAGTTTTAAATTTAATAAATTATTATTATTTTTTGAATTTCAGATATTTTACTCACTTTTTCTCTGATTTAACTCTTGATAAAGAAGAGGAACTTATGTATAGTGAGGATTCCTGTTATTTAATGGCTCATAATGGTTGGGTTATGGGTGATGATCCCCTTAGAAATTTTGCAGAGAAAGAAAGTAACGTATATTTACGGAGAGAATTAATTGCTTGGGGCGATAGTTGTAAATTGAGGTATGGAGAAAAGCCAGAAGATTGTCCATATCTATGGAAACATATGACAGAATATGTAACACAAACTGCCAAAATGTTTCATGGAATAAGATTAGATAACTGCCATAGTACACCATTACATGTTGCTGAGGTAATTCAAAAGTTTTGTTCATATACTGAAATGTTTGTTACATTAATGTGTTGATGATCTAAACTAATTGAAACTGAAAATGGATTAGATTATCAAACAAAGCATATTTTAGTCTTTTATTTTACTGTTCTACCCAGACTTTGTTTTCACAAGTTTAGTAGAATGTTTTACATAATATTAGAATGTTAGAACAAAAATAGAACTAAAGTGGAATGGATGGACAATAAATAAAGAATAATACTAAATTTTTGTTTTAACTATCTTTTTATATTTTTCAATTCAAATCAAGCAAAAAAAAGAATATTTATTATTCTATTCCATATTTGTAGCTATTCCATGCATGTTTAAGATCTTTTCAGATAATTGTTATTTGAATTACCTTATGTATAATAAAAAACTTTCAAGTTATAATATTTTGTTATGTTCTGAATTATTTTGGTTCAAATAAATAATTTATCTACTTTGTGATTTTTATATATTTTTGAAATGAAACAGATATTTAAAAATTCTTTTAAAACTACAGAACAATCTATCATTATTTTGTCTGTAATTAAAGAAAAATGGAATTTTGTTAACACCAGATGGATATTTTAATTTATTTTATTGTCATTTAGTTTATTATTTTTTCCAGATTCTGATAAAAGTTGAAACAATGAAACTTAGAGAACCAAAAATTAAATATTTTTTAGGTTTGTCTAGTTTGTTTCAAGTTAGATAAGACCAAAGAAACCAAAAGAAAAATACCAAAACCAAAGAAAAAAATTATACATAATTAGATTTGTAAAATAGTGAAAAACTAAATCACATATATTTTGTCATACTGAATTTGAATATTAGAGTGCAAAATATTCAGAAATATTTTGCACTCTGATATTCTCTGATTAGCAGATAAATCCCAGAAAAATATTAAAACTGCGAATCATCAGACATTTGTTTTACAAACTATTTTTTGTTAATTTCTTTTGAAATAACAAAATAAAATGTATGAGGCTTTTTTTTTTTTTTAATTTTAAATTATTATTGTATATTTGTTTTTATTTAGTAAAGGTAATCCATATGGACTGTGAAAAATGAAATTTTATAAATAACTATGAAAAAAATGTACAAATTAAATCTTACTTGTTAGATGATAAGTTTAATCATTTGTCACATAAAACACGGAATAGATATCACAAACACTTATTGTATTTGTCTTATATGATGTATATTTACATTTATAATCTATGTAGAAGGTAAATGAAATGAAAAAGAAATTGTTTCACTCAAAGTTTTTGTTTTGGTTGATGATTTTATTTTATTGAATTATTTAATTATTTAAATAAAAATAATAATTGATTTTAATGAGCAATATATCAACTGTTTGACATATTGCTCATTAAAATTCAGAATTTTAAGTTACCTGTAGATGTTATTAAAAAAGTTAATAATAATAAACCTTAAATATAGTTTTTTATTCTTTTTTTGATGATTGAAGCAGGTGATTTAACTAGGCAGCAATATATGATTTTTATATTAAATATTCATAATTCCAATAATTAAAAAAAAAAATGTACATTTGATGATGATTATTGTGCTCTATGTAATGTGAACATTTTCACTTAATAATTTAATTACAATTTCAGTGTTGTATGTAATATTTGATATATTTTTTAAAATATTGATTTAGTATTTGATGGATGTTGCAAGGCGTGTTCGACCAAATTTATATGTTATTGCTGAATTATTTACCTCCAGTGAGTCCATTGACAATATCTTTGTTAATCGACTAGGTATATCTTCTTTAATTAGAGGTACATGGCAGTTTTTTATTAAGTTTTAAAATTTATTGTTTATAATATAATAATAATATTTAATAAAGATAATTATATAATGATGATATTACTTTATCTGATTTCAGAGGCAATGAGTGCATTTGATTCACATGAACTTGGACGTTTAGTTTATCGCTATGGTGGTCAACCAGTAGGAGCTTTTATTCAACCTCCAGTTCGTCCCTTATGCCCTAGTATTGCTCATGCTATTTTCTTAGACTTAACTCATGACAATCCTTGTCCTATTCAAGTATGTAGTAAAAACTGGTAAAAACTATTATTGAAATTATTCAAAAATTAAAAAAATTTTTCTTCTTAGAAACGATCTGTCTATGACCAGTTCCCAAGTACAGCATTGGTATCAATGGCATGTTGCGCTACTGGGAGTAATCGTGGTTATGATGAATTAGTACCATATCATGTAATTTTCCATACTTTTATAGAAATGAATACAGTAGAACCTCGATTATCCGGACTAATTGGGGATGAAGGTAGTCCGGATAAGGAAAAATCCGGATAATCGAAACAGATACTTTAATTTGTCTTTTAATGATAATACAACACGTTTTCTTTTCGATGACATATCGGTAATATTAAAAGTAAATACTGTATTTAAATCGTGATCAAATTTTCAAGAAACAAACGTTCGTATTG